GGGCGCCTCCAGCGAGGGCCAGGCGGAGGCCCTGAACTGGGCACGCCTCCCAGTGAGGGCCAAGAAGGTAGAGGCAGAGGCAGGGCACGTGGCTGGGCAGCAACTGCAGGGGTTCTGGCTGGAGCTCCCCACGCTCCCCTCTGCCCGGCACCTCCCGGCTTTGCCAGCTTTCAAAATGGCTGCCAAGAAGGGGAGAATAAGAACCTGTCAGAGACGCAGCTTCTGAGTCCAGGCCTTGCCTTCCCGGCCACCCGCAGCCAGCAAGCAGCACAGCCCTGCCCTCAGGGCCACCTGCAGCCAGCCAGCACCAGCTGCAGCCAGGCTCAACCCTGAGGGAAGGGCCAGGAGGGAGCGGGCAGAGGCCTCTGACAACTGACCGGAAACTCGACACCAGCCCAGCTGGTGCCAGGACCTAGAAACGGGTCACCAGGGCAGAGGGAAGAGACCAGAGGGTGGCAGGTCGAGGGGTAAGAAGCGGAATGGAAGTGCAGTGGCCGAGAGGAAAGTGTGCAGGAGGACGAGGGTTTGGCGGGGTAAAGCCCGTGAAGGAAGGCTGTGGGTGGCGACTCGCAGCTCCAGAAACGTGACTAGGCCCCAGGTCCCGGGTTCCCACCCCGCCCCACCCCACACGGACAGGGATGCCCAGGTCGGGCCAGGGCTTGCCCACCAGACCCAGGGAAGCCTGTGGCCCGGCACGTCAGGAGCTGCGTGACAGCCCCTGTGGTGGCTTCTTACCTGGGGATCCCACAGCCGGGTGAGGTTGGGGTACAGGTAAAACTGGATTCCTTGGGCCGCCCCAGGCAGCGTCACCCCTCGAATCAGCAGGACCACCAGCATGAGGTAGGGGAAGGTGGCTGTGAAGTACACCACCTGGCCGAGGGCAGACAGAGACAGGCTGGTGAGGCGGGGGCAGGCCTCAGCTGTCACCAGGGCAGGAGGTGCGCCCCACAGAGAAGGCGCAGGAAGCCCCTCTCCTGTGAGCCCTACTCCCTGTGCTTAAACCACAGCCTCCCCCTCTTCAGTCGCCCTCCCCTGGACACATGTTCCGTAAATATCTGCTGAGTGATGCGGGCTGTCAGGTATGGGGGTCCTGTACCACGTGGCCTATCCTCACGGGGCTGGAGCTGAGCACAACAAGCAGCCGGGGCCTCCGGGCACGAGGCCAGGAGGGTCAGAACGCCGCCCCACACCACGGGTGCTCTAGGCCAGAGTCCCTGGATTCTGGGCTGGGCTGAGGATCATCCTGAGATGAACAGACTTCATTCTTGCCCCAAGGACCGTGGGACACGTGTCACATGAAACGGGCCCACGGACTGCGTTCGGTTTGCGCCATGCTCACGTGTGCTGTGTCCAAGACCACATTCCTCCGGGAGAGTACCCCCCCCCCCATTCAGCTTCCCTGGATACCAGAAGTACAGGGGATTGAATCCAGGGGAGGCACAGGACCCAGGAAGGGGGCCACAGAGCCTTCGCTGGGCCACGCCTCGGGTGCTCCTGGGCCACGGTGCGTGAGGTGGGGAGCCGGGAGGCCGGGGCACCGACACAGACCTTGCCCGTGGACTTGACGCCCTTCCAGATGCAGAAGTAGCAGACGACCCAGGCCAGTAGGAGGCACAGCGCCAGCTCCCAGCGCAGGGCGCCCAGCTGCTGGATACCGGCGGAGAGCTTCAGGACGCGCCTCCTGGGGAGAGGGTGGGCCGTGTCCACCTCGTGCCAGCCTGTGTCCTCACGCCCTCGGGCAGCAGAGCCACCCTCCAGGCTCCGGTCCCGAGGCTTGCTGGCCCTTGCCACCCAGATCCACGGGACAGTCCCCAGCCACGGTGGGCACAGATAGATGAGTGGCAAGGCAAGCTGTCCCCAGTCTGCTTGTCCTCCTCCGCCATGGGGAGGGTGCAAATCCAGAAGTCCTCACCCGGGTTTTAGGGCTCTCTGACACAGGGCCGAGCCCTGGGCGAGCATCAGTGTGTGTGGGGACAGGTGGGCAGGAGACAGCATACATGCAGCTGAGCACACAGGTGGTGAGTGGGGACTGCATGTACGTGTGCGCTCTACACGCCAGCGGGCACACGCCTGAGGAAAGGGCAGCACGGCCTGAGGAGAGCTGGGCAAGCTCGCCTCCGAGACCCTCCCCACGTCGGCCTGCGCGCCGACACAGCGGAAGCCAGCGCTCGGTGACAGCCCAGCACCCAAGGAGCAGCACCCTGCCTAGGCGCCCACGGAGAGCTGCCGCACCCACTCTCCCCTGCCCTAGGTGCCCACGGAGAGCCACCGCATCCACCCTCTCCTGCCCACAGTGCCCGCAGAGAGCCGCTGCGCCCACCCTCCCCTGCCCACGGTGCCCGCGGAGAGCCGCCGCGCCCACCCTCTCCTGCACACGGTGCCC